ACTTTGAGAATTATCAGCAATACACCTGTTTTCATTGTCAAAATTTCCAAAGACATTGACAACATTTCCTGTTCAAAATACATAAATGGAACCATATATTTAATACGCTATTTGGTTTATTATAAATAAGGGATACGTATGAACATACCATCATAAATAGGTGTTTCTAGCCAATCATCACGCAAATGTAAATAATACGTTTCACCTGTTTCATTGAACAAAGTAGCTACCTTTATGATTAATTTTATATTAGCATATTTAAGATATTCACTTCCAAACAGTCGAAACATAATAAAGCATTAAATAAATGACATCACTTTTTCGGGTTTTCTTGACTCATTCAAACAATATTCACTCATTTGTACTTGAAAAACTTCTAATCTCCGAACAATACTGGTATTTCCATTAAAATCTATCTGATCAATACTATCATCCCAACCTTCATCCCAATCTGTACAGGCATATTCGTTCAGTGTTGCAGACTGGAAGCTGGAGCCACACTGGACGTCCATATTTTTCCAGTGGTCCAGTAGTTCCGGTGAGAAATCCAGTGAAACGATTTTTTCATTTTTCATTGAAACAATATTATATATTTCACGTGACTTTCGGGCAATTTAAATTTTAATATTTAACCAGTTAATCAATTTTTTTAATGCCATTTTCGCGTCAATTTAGTATACGAATAAGTGATTTAAGTTTATAAATATTTGCTATATTATTCGCGTTAAATTAAAAATTAGTGAATAATTGGGACCTCTTATAATTGATTATATTTTAGGAAGACATTTATCACCGAACGTTATTGCAGTATTGGAATCCCTCCGACTTTACATAAGACGCGTTTTTAAGGAAACGCGTAAATCTACAAATTTGTCACGCAAATCACGTGTCTAAATTTTTAACATCCTATAGAAAAATATGGGCGTCCTTTTAAAATAGACCAGGGGTTTAGATTCCTTACCCTAAACCTCCCCTGGTCTAGGATAAAAACTGACCGTTAAACTTGTATACGTTTTTTCTTGATGATTTTCTTTTTTGGTTGGATCTACTTATTCGTTACTCGATTACATTATATAAAAATTATAAATAATGAATCCATACTATATTCTGTAATCCATTAATTACTCGAGTAATATTCTTTTTTATCTTTACGTAAAATACAATATCATGCGGCTTTTAATCTCTTGAGTATTTTTAAAAATGTTCCGATCTGAATTTGTATATTTATTTTTTTTAGTAATTAATGTGACGGATTAAAATGAAATCAGATTAAAATGAAATGAGAGATATTGTAAAATAGACAAGCCACTGAAAAATACAAATTTTTGGGGTGCATTTTTTTTTAGCACTTTTTTAGTGTTAGGATTAGGGTTTAGGGGTAGGTTTTATAATAAACAAGTATAAGAGGGTTTTAGGGAACAAATAGAAACCTCTCATTTCATTTCATTATGATCCGCGACAATTAACATTTTTGTCTTTTTTTGCTTCGAATTTTTTAATGGCCTGATGAATTGATAATCATTGATCGGCAAAGACAAAAGCGAAAGATTGTTGATCACTTCTAGATTTGTACATTATAATTTGAACAGGAAATGTTGTCAATGTCTTTGGAAATTTTGACAATGAAAACAGGTGTATTGCTGATAATTCTCAAAGT